ACCGCATCATCAGTGACACGCACCGCATCAGCAGTGACACGCACCGCATCATCAGTGACACGCACCGCATCAGCAGTGAAGCACCGCATCATCTGTTACACGCACCGCATCAGCTGTGACACGCACCGCATCATCAGTGACACGCACCGCATCATCAGTGACACGCACCGCATCAGCAGTGACACGCACGCATCAGCAGTGACACGCACCGCATCAGCAGTGACACGCACCGCATCAGCAGTGAACGCACCGCATCAGCAGTGACACGCACCGCATCAGCTGTGACACGCACCGCATCAGCTGTGACACGCACCGCATCAGCTGTGACACGCACCGCATCAGCTGTGACACGCACCGCATCATCAGTGACACGCACCGCATCATCAGTGACACGCACCGCATCATCAGTGACACGCACCGCATCATCAGTGACACGCACCGCATCAGCAGTGACACGCACCGCATCAGCAGTGACACGCACCGCATCAGCAGTGACACGCACCGCATCAGCAGTGACACGCACCGCATCAGCAGTGACACGCACCGCATCGGCTGTGACACGCACCGCATCGCTGTGACACGCACCGCATCGGCTGTGACACGCACCGCATCGGCTGTGACACGCACCGCATCGGCTGTGACACGCACCGCATCGGCTGTGACACGCACCGCATCGGCTGTGACACGCACCGCATCATCAGTGACACGCACCGCATCAGCTGTGACACGCACCGCATCGGCTGTGACACGCACCGCATCGCTGTGACACGCACCGCATCGGCTGTTACACGCACCGCATCGTCTGTTACACGCACCGCATCATGTTACACGCACCGCATCATCTGTGACACGCACCGCATCAGCTGTGACACGCACCGCATCAGCTGTGACACGCACCGCATCAGCAGTGACACGCACCGCATCAGCAGTGACACGCACCGCATCAGCAGTGACACGCACCGCATCAGCTGTGACACGCACCGCATCAGCTGTGACACGCACCGCATCGCTGTGACACGCACCGCATCGTCTGTTACACGCACCGCATCGTCTGTTACACGCACCGCATCGTCTGTTACACGCACCGCATCGTCTGTTACACGCACCGCATCGTCTGTTACACGCACCGCATCAGCTGTGACACGCACCGCATCAGCTGTGACACGCACCGCATCAGCAGTGACACGCACCGCATCAGCAGTGACACGCACCGCATCAGCAGTGACACGCACCGCATCAGCAGTGACACGCACCGCATCAGCAGTGACACGCACCGCATCATCTGTTACACGCACGCATCAGCTGTGACACGCACCGCATCAGCAGTGACACCACCGCATCATCTGTTACACGCACGCATCAGCTGTGACACGCACCGCATCATCTGTTACACGCACGCATCAGCTGTGACACGCACCGCATCAGCTGTGACACGCACCGCATCATCTGTTACACGCACGCATCAGCTGTGACACGCACCGCATCATCTAGTACTGCTAATTCCTGCTGGAGATGTTACTACAACTAATCTGCCAATTCTTCTGCTGGAATTACTGTAATGCTGATGCCACTGTTTGTACTGGTACTAGTTTTGGTAATATACTCAAACCACTTCTCCCACTGCTGCTGATCATCATTTCTTCCATCACAGATGTTGCTGTTTAGCAGGAAACTACAAATTGTCAGAAGTCTGACCATCCCAGGAACGCACTCTCTCTCTCCAGCAGGTATTACACCTGTCAACCTAACTTCAGGGGTACAGGGAAATAATAAGTCAGTGTAACTCAGTACAAGCCATTAAAACTAACTAGACTCATCAGAATTTAGTGGAGCACTCTGTCAGGCCAGCCTCACATGTATCAGGTTGGGTCAGGTGTGTGGGCGTGTCCTCACCTCGTGAGACAGGTAGAAGGCGGCGATGCCAAGCGGCCAGAAGCAGCAGAGCATGGAGAAGACACTGAGGCCCAGGTGATCTCTGGGAGGCATCAACAGGAAGGTATCCTCGCTCTCTGATTCGCTGGAGTAATCACTCTGAAACACACAGGTAGCTCAGAAACACAGAGCGCTGGCTCACCTTTGATTGATGTTGAATTCTAAACTTTTTAGGAGAATATCATATATCAATATCATCACACATTGTTGAATACGTGTTCTGTTTTTCTGAATCTATTTTAATTATCAAAAGCTGCAAAGAAATAATTACATTTTCAGCCCTGAATAGTGTCTGCAGGCATCAACGGCTTTCACCAATCAGAGGGGGATTGTGTCACCTGTATGTAGTCTGAGAGGCAGATTTAACTCCATAAAGATATATGATGATAGAATATGAAATTGGGAATTTGCGTTGTTTTTAAGGCTCTGGCTGATAAACGCCCTGGACACAGCGGACCAAGAAACATGTCCAAAAAGAGACATGTCGGACAACTTGTCTCTAGTACGCCATCACCAAACACTATCTCGCCTTCATCAGGGTGTCAGACTGTTTCTAGCCAGTGATGAGGTGAATATAGATCACCATAGAAACCAAGTATACAAATAAAATATTTTAAAACAAAATAAATTATTAATTTATTATATTATAAAATTAATTCTTATTATAAATGAAATATTTTGAATCCTGGTGTACTGGAGGAGGGTTGTGCCACATGTTTTCATTTGGATGGTCTAGTTGGTAGTAGTTAGTTCATTTAGATGGTTAGTATTAAAGGTGGTCAGTGGTTGTAGTTAGCACAGTGGTAATATATAAATAGTCTTAGTCTCCAGTGTACTCCACAGATCAGCTGCTGTCTTACATCCAGAGAGTCAGCTCCATCACTGTCTGACTCCTCAGTCATAAACACACATGATGAGCAGAGAGATCAGATCTGCTGGCTTCTAGTTCAGGAAACCGACAACAGAGTCGGTGTCCCTGTGACAAAACTCTTATTCTGAAAATATTCTGCGGGACGATAGTAATTTCACCTGTGCTGAACTACTTCTCTCACTAATATCTTAGTAAGAGCAGGTTCGCACACTCCGTCAGTAATCCCCCTCTCTGGTATTACAGGGACAGAGTAGATTAAAGCTGGACTTTGCAGAGACAAAATCACAGCATTTCCAGCTAATCGTCTCTAAAGCGATTGGCTGTTAGGCGGCCAAATGTGTCGTTCGGAGAGCTGCAGCTCGCTAATCTCATTCTGCTGCAAACTCACTGGACGGGAGGAGGGATGTCAGAGCGCTCAATTAGATAGATTATGAAATCTGCTTCCTCTAAAGAGGCTCAAAACCCAACACGCTGTTAGGACAGTGACGGGCTGAATATTTAGAAGTAAACGCAGTGAAAACTCCTCAAAGCAGCAGGGCTGACTGTTGAGAGATACGTGGTTCTCACAGGACAGCAACGCTAAAAACACATGCTGATCTTATAGACCATGATGCATTGCTGCAGATTAAACTGCCCAACAGGACTTAAAACATCTGCAGCAGTTTATTAATGCAGCAGGAATATTAATCCAGAAACATCAGATGTAACAGAGAAACCCTGACAGGAACATTTTACTGCACCATGAGATAATACTTAGTAGCAGTACTAATACTTTTACTGAAGTAAAGGATCTGAGTACTTCTTCCAAGACTGAAGTCAGTACAGATTTACAGGATCAGCCCTCAGCAGATTCTGTCCTCCTCCTCTCTGTGTTCTCCACATTAGAATTCAACAGGTGTGTTATTCTGCTGCAGAGTGGAGGATGGGGGGTTTTAAAGACAGGATGGACGGTGGAGGATGGAGGGTTTTAAAGACAGGATGGACGGTGGAGGATGGAGGGTTTTAAAGACAGGATGGACGGTGGAGGATGGGGGTTTTAAAGACAGGATGGACGGTGGAGGATGGAGGGTTTTAAAGACAGGATGGACGGTGGAGGATGGAGGGTTTTAAAGACAGGATGGACGGTGGAGGATGGAGGGTTTTAAAGACAGGATGGACGGTGGAGGATGGAGGGTTTTAAAGACAAGATGGACGGTGGAGGATGGAGGTGGCGGATGGGGGTTTTAAAGACATGATGGACGGTGGAGGATGGAGGGTTTTAAAGACAGGATGGACGGTGGAGGATGGGGGGTTTTAAAGACAGGATGGACGGTGGAGGATGGAGGGTTTTAAAGACAGGATGGACGGTGGAGGATGGGGGTTTTAAAGACAGGATGGACGGTGGAGGATGGAGGGTTTTAAAGACAGGATGGACGGTGGAGGATGGGGGGTTTTAAAGACAGGATGGACAGTGGAGATGGGGGTTTTAAAGACATGATGGACGGTGGAGGATGGGGGTTTTAAAGACATGATGGACGGTGGAGGATGGGGGGTTTTAAAGACAGGATGGACGGTGGAGGATGGAGGGTTTTAAAGACAGGATGGACGGTGGAGGATGGGGTTTTAAAGACAGGATGGACGGTGGAGGATGGGGGTTTTAAAGACAGGATGGACGGTGGAGGATGGAGGGTTTTAAAGACAGGATGGACGGTGGCGGATAGGGGGTTTTAAAGACAGGATGGACGGTGGAGGATGGAGGGTTTTAAAGACAGGATGGACAGTGGAGGATGGAGGTGGCGGATGGAGGGTTTTAAAGACAGGATGGACGGTGGAGGATGGGGGTTTTAAAGACAGGATGGACGGTGGAGGATGGAGGGTTTTAAAGACAGGATGGACGGTGGAGGATGGAGGGTTTTAAAGACAGGATGGACGGTGGAGGATAGGGTTTTAAAGACAGGATGGACGGTGGCGGATAGGGGGTTTTAAAGACAGGATGGACGGTGGAGGATGGAGGGTTTTAAAGACAAGATGGACGGTGGAGGATGGAGGTGGCGGATGGGGGTTTTAAAGACATGATGGACGGTGGAGGATGGGGGTTTTAAAGACAGGATGGACGGTGGAGGATGGAGGGTTTTAAAGACAGGATGGACGGTGGAGGATGGGGGTTTTAAAGACAGGATGGACGGTGGAGGATGGGGGGTTTTAAAGACAGGATGGACGGTGGAGGATGGAGGGTTTTAAAGACAGGATGGACGTGGAGGATGGGGGTTTTAAAGACAGGATGGACGGTGGAGGATGGAGGGTTTTAAAGACAGGATGGACGGTGGAGGATGGGGGGTTTTAAAGACAGGATGGACGGTGGAGGATGGAGGGTTTTAAAGACAGGATGGACGGTGGAGGATGGAGGGTTTTAAAGACAGGATGGACGGTGGAGGATGGAGGGTTTTAAAGACAGGATGGACGGTGGAGGATGGAGGGTTTTAAAGACAGGATGGACGGTGGCGGATAGGGGGTTTTAAAGACAGGATGGACGGTGGAGGATGGAGGGTTTTAAAGACAAGATGGACGGTGGAGGATGGAGGTGGCGGATGGGGGTTTTAAAGACAGGATGGACGGTGGAGGATGGAGGGTTTTAAAGACAGGATGGACGGTGGAGGATGGGGGTTTTAAAGACAGGATGGACGGTGGAGGATGGAGGGTTTTAAAGACAGGATGGACGGTGGAGGATGGGGGGTTTTAAAGACAGGATGGACGGTGGAGGATGGAGGGTTTTAAAGACAGGATGGACGGTGGAGGATGGGGGGTTTTAAAGACAGGATGGACGGTGGAGGATGGAGGGTTTTAAAGACAGGATGGACGGTGGCGGATAGGGGGTTTTAAAGACAGGATGGACGGTGGAGGATGGAGGGTTTTAAAGACAGGATGGACGGTGGAGGATGGGGGTTTTAAAGACAGGATGGACGGTGGAGGATGGAGGGTTTTAAAGACAGGATGGACGGTGGAGGATGGGGGTTTTAAAGACAGGATGGACGGTGGAGGATGGGGGGTTTTAAAGACAGGATGGACGGTGGAGGATGGGGGTTTTAAAGACAGGATGGACGGTGGAGGATAGAGGGTTTTAAAGACAGGATGGACGGTGGAGGATGGGGGGTTTTAAAGACAGGATGGACGGTGGAGGATGGGGGTTTTAAAGACAGGATGGACGGTGGAGGATGGAGGGTTTTAAAGACAGGATGGACAGTGGAGGATGGAGGGTTTTAAAGACAGGATGGACGGTGGAGGATGGGGGTTTTAAAGACATGATGGACAGTGGAGGATGGAGGGTTTTAAAGACAGGATGGACGGTGGAGGATGGGGGGTTTTAAAGACAGGATGGACAGTGGAGGATGGGGGGGTTTTAAAGACAGGATGGACGGTGGAGGATGGGGGTTTTAAAGACATGATGGACAGTGGAGGATGGAGGGTTTTAAAGACAGGATGGACGGTGGAGGATGGGGGTTTTAAAGACAGGATGGACGGTGGAGGATGGAGGGTTTTAAAGACAGGATGGACAGTGGAGGATGGGGGGTTTTAAAGACAGGATGGACGGTGGAGGATGGGGGTTTTAAAGACAGGATGGACGGTGGAGGATGGGGGTTTTAAAGACAGGATGGACAGTGGAGGATGGAGGGTTTTAAAGACAGGATGGACAGTGGAGGATGGAGGGTTTTAAAGACAGGATGGACAGTGGAGGATGGGGGGTTTTAAAGACAGGATGGACGGTGGAGGATGGGGGTTTTAAAGACAGGATGGACAGTGGAGGATGGAGGGTTTTAAAGACAGGATGGACAGTGGAGGATGGGGGTTTTAAAGACAGGATGGACGGTGGAGGATGGGGGTTTTAAAGACAGGATGGACAGTGGAGGATGGGGGGTTGTGATCTGTGGAGAGCTCTGTAAAACATCTAGTGGCTGTGAGAGGAACTGCAGCGGCTGCTTTAATGTTCATCTTCTGTTAGCTGTTTTATCCACATCTATCCAACCCGTTCTCAGTCCCAAGTCGTCCCATATTGACGCTTGGTCAACACCCCTTGGCGTCAGTTTGTGACGCACTGGGCAGCCAGTCATTTATTAGCGCTAAAGGTAGGTGTAGGCTTTTTAACAGAAGAGTCAGAGTCAGAGGCTGGTTGGGGTGGGCGGTGGGCCAGAAACTTGACTTTCACCCAGGACGCTGATGTTCGTTCCCCATGAAACAAAAAGTCATTGTGATTATAGTGATGTTACGTAGTTATTTTAACCCAAACCAGGATCTTTTCCTAAACCTAACCAACAATGCCCACTAGTTTTATTGTAAAAGTCTAACTGGACGTTGCATATTTATTCTTGCTAACTTGATGGCGGAGGCGTACACGTACACATTTTACCGCAGCGTTTCTGATGACAACGAAACATAAAAACATAAAGTCCTCACCTCCAACTCCTGGAACTCGTCGTCGTCGATGTCGTACGACAGCGTGTGAATCTTTGTGTCCTCTCCAGAAAAGTCCAGAAACTTCCCGTCGGCGAACAGCAGCGCCTCCTTTGTGGAGGAGGAGGCTGCTGGGGAGGAGGCGTCAGGACTGAGCCCCTCGATGAAGGTGGTCTCACAGCAGTCGCCTCCCCCGGCCTCCCCCCACGCCCGCAGGACGTTCTCTGGGCAGAGGAGGAGGCCGGGGGTCGTCCTGAGGCGGGGGTCCAACACCGCCTGATGATGGAGGAGAGCGCTGGGGTTCAGGAGCTGAGGAGGTCCCCCACCTCCTCCTCCACCGCTCCTCTCCTGCTGCGGGGGGGCGTTCACCACCACATGACCCTGATACTGAGGAGCTGAGTACACCAACAGCAGCGCCTCCCGAGGCTCCGCCCCCAGCATGTGTGTGTTGATGAGGCCATTTTGTCTACAGGCGTCTCCTCCTCCTCTGGGCGAGGCTCTCCCCCGTTTGGAGGAGGTTGAAGCCTCTTCTCCTCGGCTCTCCTCCTCCTCTCCTCTCTCCATCCTTCCTCAGAGCTCTGCTGGTCGCTCCTCCTTCTCAGAGGGGTCTCTCAGAGGGGTCAGGGCTCAGGGGCCCGGCATCGCAGGCTGAACTCTCCAGAGAAACAGAAACAGAAAACACTGTTGGACCTTGGAAGGAGGAGAAGATGTGTCCTCCTCTGCTCCGGCAGTTTAAAGACAGAAACTCGACTAACGAAAACGGATGCTGATGATCCTGACACAGCTGCATGTGGACCTGATGGTGGCGCTACAGGAACACTCAGAAGATCACCAAAGTTCGGTCTGAACCACATTTCATCACAAGCCGTGTTTCAGTCTGGTCCCACTGCACAGCACTACAGCAGGTGATTTAACTCTCTGCAGCCTTCGTGTGACTTTCAAAGACAATTCTGGTGTTTGTGGAGAGGCCTCACCTGACAAATGATAATCTAGGTGGTTTGAGCAGCAACTTGCTACGACCTCTAGTGGCAACAGTAGCAAAGAGGAGAGCAGGTACCATATTATAAATGGTGAAGTCCATGTGAGGAGGTGGATGGGTCAAACCCTGGACTTACACTCAGGAGAACGGCGTTTGAGTCCTGTGTGAAACCTTGTCAATGTTATTTTTAAGTTAAATAATGATACTGACTTCTGTCACGTGACTTCCATTATTTACTTGTTTTAACCCAAACTAAGACCTTTTCCTAAACTGAACCAAACTGTGACCATTTCACACCTTTAACCACGCGTTTAATGTCACGTGTTAGCAAAGATAACGGTCATATGCGTCGTTTTGGGAGGCATGGATAAATTGCCAGTGTTGTTGTTTAGGTTGGAGGACGTATTTGAGATCAGAGGCTTTTAAACTGCGACTCCATCAAGTTTCTACAAATCAGCTGCAACCATAGACTGTATATAAGAAATGACGTCACCTGTTGGTTTGTGGACTGCCATTTTGAAGCCTCAAGTTGGGGGAGCCAACGGCCGTGTGCGGAGCTAGCGAGCTTGCTTAGCTAGGTGCATTTTAACAGGGCTGATAACTCTGTCTAGTGAACTACAGTCTTAAAACTAAATGCACTCACCAGAGAAAGTGAACAGCCGACTCCTAATGGAGGTTAAATTTACACAGTGCCGAGGGTTCGAGTCGGCTCTAGCCTGATTGACAGGTCTGCTGGATTTTCAATAGAATGCAGGTTTCAGGGACTTCCGCATTGTGGACTGGAAGCTTCCCGCTTGGCTGCAACTTTTACTTGGTGCTGCGTTCAGGGACACCGAACTCAAAATTCTGGTGATTTCATGCATAAGAAGGGTTCAGCAGCAGATGTTAGATGTCAGAGTGTCCTTGAACACACCATTTTGAAACCCTTACAGACACATGCATGACTGTGTGTGTGGAGATCAGCATCCTGCATTCAGTCAGCTGTGTGTTGGTGAGGCTGGAGGTCAGACTGAGCTCATTAACACGGGTCCAGGGTCAGTCCAGCTGCAACCAATTCAAGTCTCACAGATCAACACTGCAGAAATACAAATGTTAGTAGAGAAATGGAGGACTGATGGAGGAAGAAGAAGAACAGGGTCACCTGGTTCCTGTCCAGAACGCACTGAGCATGTCAGCTTCAATAACAGAAGCAAGATGTCCTGACGTCATGACAACTGAACCTCTCCTGTTCCTGTAAACTCCTCCCCTCCACCTTCTTCTTCTCCCCTTCTTTCACTAAACGCTTCCACTTTCTCTATCTGCTGCTTTTCTGCTTTTGGATTAACTTCATGACTTTTACTGTGGAGGAGGAGATTTATTTTCAGCTTCACTGAACACTGAGGCTTCAACATGTGACATCATCAACTGACCAATCAGGGAAACAATACTTCTACCTGAGTAAAAGTATTTGTGATGAATATTGGAGGTGGTTGGCCCGTTTACTTTCTATATAAATAATAAAATAATCCATGCACATTAACAATAAAGCTGAGCTTCAAAGCCCCCCCCCCCCCAACACACGCGTGCGCACATACACGCGCAGATCCCTACAGCCCGTGTATATATGTAGGTAAATCTCATCAGGGCTCCTGGAAACCTGAATGCCTACAGTGTCACCAGCTGTGATGCCATCCCGGCGATGCTAAACAGGTCGTGTGATAACGAGAGGACAAAACACGCGCGCGCACACACTCACCTCCCAAGGTGAGACGTGACACCGCGCATCCATCGATGCAGCCAATCAATCAGTAGATCCAGGCTTCACTCCGACCCTTCCCCCGTCCTCCGGCCGCCCTCCGTGCGCTCTCAGCCGCGTTCAGCAGCCGAGAGAGTCCCGGTGTGATGGTCCGGTGCTCCAAGACGGGAAGAGAGGACAGACAGACAGACAGACAGACAGGTGTCCGTCTGCTCGGAGGACGATTCTCCTCCTGCAGAGAGGAGGAGAGAGCATCAGCAGCTATACGTGCACTGACTGAACACGGAGGAGGAGGCACGTGCGCTGCATACAGAGGAGGTGTGTGTGGCAGCAGAGATTTCCTCCCCATGGTCCTAACGCCCCTCAGTATGGCAAGCCATTGGTGCCAAAAAACGTCACTCTTGTAGCATGTTTAGTTACTAAGCTTTACTTTGCTGTGATCGTGGCCACCCAAAGGCAGGAAGTAACCACAGACAAGCATGAAACACTCAACACAAAAGTCCCAGACTGATCAAGTGAATTGACTACAGTTCTAAAATTTGAGCTACTCTAGGTTATAGCTTCTAACATCTATTGATTGATGATTTTAGATCAAATTTGACGTAAATGATTAATTTGCATTTTATTTATTGTCACTTAAAGTATCTCCTAAAATAGAACATACAAACATAAAGAATGTAAGTAATCACCATACATGGAACAACTATCTTTATCTTTATGAGCCCTTCAGTCGGTGTAGTATTGATAGCGAGCCTACCCTTGTTTCTACAAAGCTTTGTTTTACCATGTCATTCTAAATCCAGCATGATCCAGGCCAAAGGCAACCTGACATAGACGTGTGTATCAGTCGATTCAGGGGAAACACAGCTCGTCATTTATTCCCTGGCTTGAAACCTTTTATTTATTCATCCAAAGCTATCCTTCCGGACTCCTGCCATAATATATATGTTCCCCCAAAACACTACACCATACAAGTTGCTACAAAAACTTAGCTTTCAGCCAAAAACACCTGAAGGCTATTAAGATACTTGGTTTAAAAAAACGTTGCATTGCTTTCCTCCAAAATGGACATATTTGAGAAAGGTTAGCTGAACTCTTTGTGAAAGCATACCTTCTGATGACACCTAAGCTAAATAATAAGATGCATGTTTTGAAATCATCAATCTTTACATTGTGAATAATGTTGGCTGATAATGACAAATTGAAATCGGTTTAATCAGTAAAGGCTGAAATTTATTTTACTGTGTAAACATTCAAAATTTCATCCCAAAGTTCATCCCAAATTATACTAAATTTTATTATGACATAATTATGAACAACCAGGATAAAGAATCTGTCAGACTGTTTGTGAGAGACAATTGATTGTCCAGTAAAGGTATTAAAAAAGTAATGCAAAAATATAATTACGCTCATTTTAATGAACAACTGTAACCAATCTAGCTATGTGAAAAGTATCTAAGAACATGCACCCAATTACTCTTCTTTTTGAGGCACTACTCCACTACATTTATTTTGATGGCTTTAGTTACTAGTTACACTGCAGATTATAAATTAAAAACATATTCAAAAACTAGAGTATGGATGTATTTTCACAGATAAAGCCACACAGCAAAATATAAAGTAGTTAGAATAAGCTTTACTTTTCATCTTAAAATTTGAATGTAGGACTTTTGACATAAAGAATCTCTCTACATTGTGGTGTTGGAACATTTACCTTTACACTGTGGAAGATATACTTTGTAATCTATTAAAATTCTGTCCCTCTTTTCCCTTTTCAATTCTTCCATCCACTAGCTACAACGTGGATGGCACCGCTCAGATGACTGGGAAGCCTATCTGTCCCCATCTCTTAAAAGAAGAGCATCACCACAGCAGCCCCACTGTGCACATCCAGTCAGCCAGTTAAAGAGCTGAAGTTCAAACAGCCCCAAGAACTGAAGGTTTTGCCCACGAACTTCCAGTCTGTGGTTACTTCCTGCCTTTGGGTGGCTACGATCACAGCAAAGTAGGTCAGTGCTGAATTAGTGTGGTCTGTTCTTCTTCTGTACTGATTGGCTGATATCAGTTCAAATTTAGTGGCTGTAAAATGCACAGGGCGGAGCTAAGTATCATTTTAGAAAATGTCGTTTTTTACGCCGTCACTCTTGTAGCATGTTTGTTAACTAAACATGCTACAAGAGTGACGTTTTTTGGCACTAATGGCTTGCCATACCTCAGAGCTCCTCCTCATGACAGGTTCATAAACACAGCATATGAACATGTGATCTTGTGTTCAACACTTATGAACCTCAACTAATGATCAGCGGTGGCCCCGCCCTCCAGACTGCAGGGGGCCCCAACTGACCTGCAAGAACTGAATAATTCACTCACTTTAAAAATGAACCACTTATTTCTGTCAGTGTGCAGAGACATGGACGCAGGAAGCAGAGGAGCTGAGGGCGCTGCAGAAACCAGGAAGTAGAATAACAGCACTAAACTACAGCAGGAACACCAGAGCTGGTGAAAATACTACAGATCATAAAAAACTTAATAACTAACTAATAACTAACTAGAGCAAATTCAAGGTGTCAGCTTTGTTTCTTTAAAGGTTCAGTGTGTAAGTTTCAGTGGCATCTTGTGGTGAGAGTTGGGCATTGCAGCCAACAGCTCAGCCACTGCTGCCCCCTCCTGTTGCAGGTGTGTGAGAGAAGCCACGGTGTCCGACACGCTCTGTCGGCTTTTGTGCTAAATATTACTTTTGGTATGACAAGACCTTTTAATTCCTTTGTTATTTATTCCTCACAACTTACTAATCTATTTAAAAGCAACAAGTAGTTATTTATTTGTCACTAGTAACTATTCTATTGTATCTATTGTTCACTTTTCTTTTTACTTCTAATAAACGGGACGACTGCTTCTTCTTCTTCTTTAAATATATTCATCACCATAGTGATGAAACACGCTCTGTAGAGCAGTTTGTCCCTTTGGGCTCCTGTAGAAACACGGCGCTGCAGCATGGTGAGCTCCATGTAAGAGGCCCTGCGGTGTGTGTAGATAGAAATGTTTCATTCTAAATTAATAAAAACATAATTCATTCATTATGTAAGGTCTGTATACACCACTGAGAGCACAGTTATGGATCTTACATTGCATTTCTGTCAATAGATCCTCAGAAATGTTACACACTGAACCTTGAACACATGAAGATAATACATTTAGGTCCAAGGCTGTATGCTGTTATTAATGCATCAGAAGTGTTGGACCTCATGACCCCCCAAGTGCTGTGTGCAGCTTCATCGTCATTCCTACCCTTGAAAAAGACTATTCACTGCAAAATACCATGCAGTGTCAAAGCTGAGTATACACACCACTACAGAATGTCACCCAGTGCGGTCTCACCACAGACAGGGAGGCAGTGTGCCGGCACGGACCAGCCTTGTACAGAGTCGAGCTGTGGATGTACAGAGAGAGGAGAGCAACCTGTATTTACACCACCATCCAAAAGTAGAGGATGGAACATCACTTCCAATCACAGCAGGGCACTAAACCGAGCAACAGACATCTTAACACTGGACTGGAAAACAAATTAAGAAACAAAACCTAAAATAGAAAACAGTGCCTGGCCTGGTCCACCTTTAAAAATAACAAACAAACAAACTGTGGACATTAGTTCCTAAATTACCTTGCATGTAATTAACAGAAGAATAAAATATAAGCCTACTTTGCAGGGTTACACAAAGTCCTGTAGCACAGTAATGTAGCAGGAAAGAGGGAGAATTCCAGTGCTAAGGATGAAAATAACATTATTAATATCATCATCACGATACACAGATTTACCAGCATTTCCGGTTGCTCTTTCTCTTGTATATAAATTACATGAAATCTGTTTGCGATTGTAATATTTTTCTCTATGCGGACGATTCAGCCTTGGTGTTCTCCCACAAGGATAAGTTATTGAGAACCATTTAAGTGATGAGTTAAAGAACATTTGTGAATGGCTGATGGGGAATAAATTGTCTTTGCATTTAGGGAAAACTAAATCTATTTTATTTGGTTCTAAAATAAGGTTGAGTAGGACACCAGAGCTCAGAATTTCTGTGGGTGGGGAGAAGAGGAAGGTGTGAAGCACATTTGAAATTTATAATAATAATGTTCATGGTGATTAAAAGCTGCTGGTTTAATGTGAATATCTTTACAGTCATAATGCCCGATACCATTGACCATCTGTCAGCCATCGCCGATGGATGATGGTATCGTCTTTCAGCTCGACCCTACCTAGAACGCTACAAAGCAACACTAACGCTACAAGCTAAACATTAATGCTATGAAGCTAAAGCAATCACAATGCTTCGAGGCTAAAGCTGTGAAGCCAACGTAGCAGTGCTAACATAGCTAATGCTAATATATTTCTTACTGTAATAAATATTTCTTATTAAAGACTGTAGGAGCCATTTCTGTTTATTGTTGGCATGATATTTTATTTTGTTTGAATATATTTATATTAGCGCTTTGGACACTGGGTGGCAGTGATTAGATGCACATGGTTGTATATAGAGGGCATAGACAGGAAGTGGTGGGCACAGGTAGGGGGAGCACAAACAGTTCTCACCCGACCACAGAGCACAATACACGCAAACAACTGGAAACAAGATAAGAAATCAACCGGTATGTTCATCTGTTTGTACTATTTACTGCTGCAATAAACCACAAACCTCAACTGCAATAATCTCTCTGGAGAAAGCAAAAGGTAAAACAAGGAAAGATTGGCATTACAAAGATTTTAAGGCAGCACAACGCTGCCACCACCTTTGTTTACCCGGTCTGGTCCGGTAGAGAACAGAACCACAGACAGGAATGTAGTACAAAATATGATCTTTATTAGAAATACAAATTCATGTAAAAAGTGACACCGCACGCAGAGAGCCCTCACAAAGGTCAGCCCTTAATGGTCACCGGAGCTGTCCTACCACCCTGTAACACAGCACTGCCAGGGAACTTTGCACACACTGTAAGAGAACCACAACAAAACGCACAGCGTCCTGCACACTGCAAACCACTGAGACACCATATACAAATGCACCACATTTAATAAGGACCACTCCAAACCACAAGCTGGTCAGAACCAGTTCTACCAATAGGGGGAGGCAAGGGCCCCCTTTGTCACCAGCGAGGGGTTGCCTGTTGTGACAAGGGACCCCTCTAATTTACCAAAATCTATTTAAGATAACTCATTAAGACTAAGACACAAAACTATTGACAAGACAACACATAACATCATAAATATGTGAGCTTGAAACTTATCTGCCCTGGGTCTGACGACAAGACCCCCCCATGGCAAGCGGACATGGAATCTCCTGTACATCAGGAAGCGCCCACAGATGCACTCCATACAGGAACAGACCCCCTGCCTGCTATCTTCACTGCCGGCAACACTAACAGTCGCGAACAGCAGCCTCCCGCTACCTGCCAAAACCCACAGCCGCGGACGCAAACAGTTCAGTCTCTCCCGTCGGCCCGTTCAACACACCCCTCTTCATCACCTCCAACTACCAGGATTACAGCAGCATCACCTCCAACTACCAGGATTACAGCAACACCACCTCCAACTACCAGGATTACAGCAACACCACCTCCAACTACCAGGATTACAGCAACATCACCTCCAACTACCAGGATTACAGCAGCATCACCTCCAACTACCAGGATTACAGCAGCATCACCTCCAACTACCAGGATTACAGCAACACCACCTCCAACTACCAGGATTATAGCAACACCACCTCCAACTACCAGGATTACAGCAGCATCACCTCCAACTACCAGGATTACAGCAGCATCACCTCCAACTACCAGGATTACAGCAGCATCACCTCCAACTACCAGGATTACAGCAGCATCACCTCCAACTACCAGGATTACAGCAACACCACCTCCAACTACCAGAATTACAGCAACACCACCTCCAACTACCAGAAAAACAGCAACACCACCTCCAACTACCAGGATTACAGCAACATCACCTCCAACTACCAGGATTACAGCAACACCACCTCCAACTACCAGGATTACAGCAACACCACCTCCAACTACCAGGATTACAGCAACACCACCTCCAACTACCAGAATTACAGCAACATCACCTCCAACTACCAGAAAAACAGCAACATCACCTCCAACTACCAGGATTACAGCAACACCACCTCCAACTACCAGGATTACAGCAGCATCACCTCCAACTACCAGAAAAACAGCAACATCACCTCCAACTACCAGGATTACAGCAACACCACCTCCAACTACCAGGATTACAGCAACATCACCTCCAACTACCAGGATTACAGCAGCATCACCTCCAACTACCAGGATTACAGCAACACCACCTCCAACTACCAGAAAAACAGCAACACCACCTCCAACTACCAGGATTACAGCAACACCACCTCCAACTACCAGGATTACAGCAACACCACCTCCAACTACCAGGATTACAGCAGCATCACCTCCAACTACCAGAATTATAGCAACATCACCTCCAACTACCAGGATTACAGCAACACCACCTCCAACTACCAGGATTACAGCAGCATCACCTCCAACTACCAGAATTATAGCAACATCACCTCCAACTACCAGGATTACAGCAACACCACCTCCAACTACCAGGATTACAGCAACATCACCTCCAACTACCAGGATTACAGCAACATCACCTCCAACTACCAGTGTCACTGAATCAAACCTTTCAGTGTAATTGTATAAATATTAACTCTGAACTTCTTACTCATAACTCTGATCCTGGGTTTGTTAATGTCAAACACATCAGGTAATCAGGAAACAGGAACAAAGCTAGACTAGGACACCAGGCAGAAGATTACAAAATAAAACAGGAAGTAAAGTACATGGGTACACACAAGGACAGCTCTAGCAAAGTAAAACACAAAACATGGACAGAGACCGGACCACACAGGAGACAGGACTACACTAAGGGGGCTTTCACACCTGAAAGTCTGCACCAAGGTCCGAACCAAAGTTCATGTTTCAATAGGCCTACATTTTGATCCATTCGGTTAGTTTTGGTTTGGTTTCACACTGCAAATCTGCAACCGCATTAAAGAACTTTACATGACAGACCTGCATCCTGTCATCATCATCTATGTGGGCTGCTCTTCTCTTATACTTGACATTGGTTCATTAAACAGTTCAGCGGGTATCTGACAAGAATGAATGAATAAAAAATAAACATTTTTGCCTCTATATTGTTATTTTTCTGGCATTACTACCTGCAGCACCAACTATACTGAAGGCTAGTTCAAATTCGCAATTAAACGTCCTTTTTGTGCGAACATTATAAAGTCGCCGACAGGAAAGGAGGAGAAGACAGCAAGCGATCCTTCAGCACCTCCGTTTCAGGAGAGACCAAAGAGATGGGAGGCAGTGTGCTTCTATAGTGGCCGTCTGTTCGAAAAGATGATCCATCACGAAAGGTTTATAATTGTGTCCTTCTTTCAATCCATTTCTCCGTGCATTTGTTTGTTTCTGGTTTACAAGGCAACCGACAAACTTCCTGTAAATAGTCTGAATGTCCCAACCATCCAAAAAATGCTTTACACACCAGAAACGAACCGAACCATGGTTCAGTTTGATCCGGACCGAGACTACCTGTTTTTGTCGGACCAAATTTCGTCTGTTTGGTCCGGACTGCGGCTCGTGGGAGGTTTCACACGTGAATTTTTGGTTCGGACCAAACTGAAAAGTCCGAAAGTCCGGATCAAACGAGGCAGGTGTGAATGCCCACTAAAACATGGAGACATAAGACTAAGGACTAAGACACAGATGTACACACACCAGGAAAAACATTAAACATGAACTAAAGCACAAGACTAAGAACAAAGGCAAAGAACTAAAACGCAGGACTAAGAACTATGACAGATACTAGGAAACTCAACCATGCGAATGAACAAAAGACCAGATTAAGCTACAAAACCCTAAACAAGATCAAATCAAGCTTACAGAACACAAAACCAAACCTATGAAAACAGACTAAACAGGAAAAACATGAACTCCAATCCAAATCTTAACAGTTTATCATCTATAAAAACATATTACTCTCTATTAACAACATAGTTAACAAAGCTACTCATAAACTTTACCATGATATCCATATCTATATACTTTTGAAAGCAAGATAGCATGGTTGACAGTGTAAAATGCTTTCGAAAGGTCTAAAAATATATCTATTGCACACCCATTATTATCCAAAGCTGTATATATTTTATCAGTAAGTTCTAAAAGTGCCAGATAAGTAGAATGATTTTCTGGAATCCATACTGATGATTATACAGAATATTGGATTTAATATTGGATAAGTGTTTCAGGATTGTCTTATAAACTTGTTTTTCCAATATCTTTGAAAAACAAGGAAATATTGAAATCGGACGATAGTTTTTAAAAGATCCTGGAAAAGCCATTTTCCAATCGTAAGGAGGGCTTTTTTCTTTCAAGTAACTGATTAATAATTTTCCATGTAGCATTGATATTACTGTCGGCATTTGTAAACTGTTCACTGAATGTATTTATTTTCGTAAGATTTATAAACAGCTAAGTTTAAAGGAGTTGGTGAGATCTATTTTCTGTATATTTTGTTTTTTATTTTTGACTTTTTCAACCCAGTAGAAATCCATGGATTTAGATTTCTTTCCAGTGTCAGCAGAACAAGTAACCAGCGGAAAACATTTTGTGAAAATTGAATTAAATAGCTCCATAAATGCTTGGCAAGCTCAGTTCACAGCACTC